GGCTACCACGCGAACTAAGAGCGTTATACTTCAGTCCATGCAGAGCTAAGCTGGGCTAACAGTCTCTGAAATGCTGGACAGTCGTCGTTATGCACGCAGGCAAACATCACCCACAACAATGTTTAAGGGTTTCCTCCTCACTGCAATGTATTTTGCCTCGGGTCACCTGCACAATACGTTACAGAAAAGCCAGCAAAATGCGCCAAAATGCGCCTTTTCTTAGCGCGCAGTGATAATTGTCTCCTCGAAGAGCTCAGCAGAGAGGCGTTGGAAGCATCGAAACGCCCAACCCTTAAGATAAGCCGTTCCTCTAAGAATCCTAGCTTAACACGCAGCATGCAAATAAGACGCCGTCCATATTTTGCGCGCACAAAAATACCAACGTCACAAGCGCCTTGGGGCGCACCTTCTTTGCTCGCGGCAAACTCCCGCTACCGAAATCGAGCTGCATTCAGCTGAGCATGCATGTAGCGAGAAAAGCAACCTTTGTTAAAACATCAAGCCAAAAATCGAAGATTGTCTATCTCGACAGACCCGCTGCAGGCAAAGACCACTTCAGCTTTCAGCCAGCCAAAGCTCTGCACACGACTCCATATACCAGCAGAAATTCAGCCAGAAAAGTCACCAGCATAGCAAACACTTGTCTTAGGAGAATCAAAAATCCTCCTGTATTGGAAACAAGCAACATTGTCCAAGGGGCTTAACGGAAGACAACATCTGCTGGCGCTGCCTGCATTTGCTTGCGCTGGGGAATGTGACAGTACGATTTGTCTTTTCCAATTGCAGTTTTCCGCAGTGTGCAAACAGAACAAGGATAATGACGAAAACAGTGTTGCCTGGGAAAAGTATGAACTCGCCACCGATGCGAACACGGCGCACAGTGCAAAGGGATAATGCACGAAGATTTCATGTACTTTTATAAATCAGATCCGGCAAATTTTTCACAGATATTTGCTCCATGCCAGTGTAGCCGAAATTCGCCTTGAACAGTCTTTCAAGCCACGCTCGAAAGATGCGACCGAATATCGACTTCGAAATAATCAATGCGTTGCGGGATTTCGCACCCAGGATAGCTGCTTTGAAAATAAACGTTCTTGCTTGAAATTCATGCTGCGGGCCATAATACAGACAGCATTCCACGCTACTTCCGATACAGCCATCATAAAAAACATTGATCAACAGAGAGATGTCAACTAGCAGGACTTAAAAATCAGCAGGCGGCAAGTTCGAAACACTCATTAGCTCTTCTTGGTCTGCAAACAGACACCGCTTACGTCGGCACATCACGCAAGGTACGCGGCTGAAATGTGTATTTCCAGCGCAAGTGATCTTCAAGGAGTAGCTTTCTAGGAATATCTTCTGCAGTATATATACAACATTAGTGGCCTCATATTACCGAGTGACATCAGGCCACTAATGCTTTGTGTAAGTCTTTTAGCGCTGATAGGCCAGAAAACTCCATTGCTCGACGATCCATACTGGGGCTGGTTTATTTTACGAAATTGAGCAGAATGCGCCTTCGTTTTGCTTCCTTCTATCCAATTGCGCGAATGTGGCAGCGACTAACTATTCAGAGATGAAAACATTGTCCCCTCCAGCGACGCACAGAAAATTCACTTGCTCTTGACTCCACATTCAAAATAAATGTCACGAAGTAGGTTGAGATGGCACTCTGGTGTTGTCTGGTGTCACCCTAGAGCGACTCACAGGACCGCAACACCATGCGCATTCACAGAGACATATGCCGTGGCGTCGTCGGTGTTTACTTGACATGACACAGTCTGGCACCGTCAGAAAAAGTACTGATTTGTTGTATTCCTAGAAGGATCGTCCTTTCTTCTTGCCTCTCTGTCGTGGTGGTTGGAACGGGTGATTCCTTTCTAAAGCTTTAGAGTCTTGCGGTTTTTCAGGCCCTCCGGAATCGCCAGAAGCGCCGCCCGTTGCACATACGTGCTTCCAAAGAGCATCCGAATGTATATACAATGCGCTTACTTAAGAAATAACTTCACGCAACTTCTGGTTAACTTCATATTGCTGCAGGAACCAGGAGGGATTCCAACGCCCCTGCAATGAAGTAGCGTAATTAACCAGGTGCGTTCCAAGCACGTTTCTGCAGTTTGATTATTGAATAATTCGCCATATTTCCTCATATTTCATTTTACGACTGAAAGTATAGATCATAAACGAGCAAGGCAGCTGTGGGCTTAGCGAGCACCTCTGCCAACAGAACTCTGCTGGGTATCTTGATGAACAGTCATTACAACTCGCGAAACTCATTTCGAGACCAACATTTACACTCTTCCGTCTTTCTTATTGCCTGCTCATACGAGCGCACAGGCACCTAAACACACTTTATGAACAGGGGCAGCTGGGGGAAGAAAGACAAGCACAAGATGAAAGGCTGCTCGCATGGAGATATGCAGGAATGATGTGCGTTGTGGCCCTCCAGTGGCCTCGTGCGGCCCGTTGGCAATGTGTCTTGCAGGTCGCAACACAAGATGAAAGGCTGCTCGCATGGAGATATGCAGGAATGATGTGCGTTGTGGCCCTCCAGTGGCCTCGTGCGGCCCGTTGGCAATGTGTCTTGCAGGTCGCAACCACTGTCGTTCGTTCGTGTCCTCTTGCAACCGTCGGGACCTGTAACTGCTGTTTGCCGATTGTTTAAAGAATCACATGAATTTTTCGATGACTGTAACGCATTTACAGTCGACCAAAGTCACTCCTTTTATCAGCAGATTCACCATTGCAAAAAACGTTTTTTTCCTCTCCTATATGACGGTCATATGTGTCAATGGCACACGAAAAAACCATACACCATGAGGCGCTATTGGGTGCTCTCCTTTGCGCGATTACATAGCGCGTTTCACGGTGTGTGCCATTTTATCTGCAGGCGAATATTTCAAAGTAAGCATCAGAGCTTTTGGGGTGAGCAAGAACTTTCAATGTGTCAGCAACGCAATTAACGGCGATGTTCTTCTACTGGGTGTACGCATTTGTTTTCCACGTGATTGAACGGTTTTTCTCGGCGCATTGCTTTCTAAGACAAGGCAGCAGCCACCATTAGTTCAAAAAATCAAAGAGCAGGCCCCGGATGCTACACTGTAGCGTATTTAACCCATGATGCGTCGAGCCGTGAAGAGGGCTCGTCAGTTGGGGTGAAGAACCCCGCCGTTGGTCCTTGAAATTTATTACTAGCTTACAGGGCTATCATTTTCTCCTTCGTCAGACATTTGACGCCCACGGAGGCCTCTAGTTTCGCTTGTCCAGTGAACTTTTAGGTATCTGTGGCACTGCATAAGCACAAAAGCGACTGCCACTCCTACGAAGATTATGGCAATATTGAGAAAAAAAGACACACCAGATTGGCGAAACTTGTTGAAAACAGTCAACATCTTCTGGTTTTTCACATATAATTCACTATGAGGGAGTTCGGCCTCAACCCTAAGAGTAGCTGCACCCCCTGCTCGGGAGAACCCATGTTCTAAAACACCGACGAGGAAGCAGGTGAACGATATTAGGAGCCAGTAACCCATCTTGGAAAGCGAAACGCGAAACACGGCAGTGTAGAAAATTTAGTTATTGTCCTTTGATCATGCGTCTCAGTGCATTCTGTATGCTGTTCTTCAGTGAGCGGGGGGCTCGTGTTCCCGCTGTGGAGTGCTGCCGACCAGCCGGAGCGATGTGAAGCTCATGTCCTACCAGCTCCGCGTTCCCGAGGTACTAAAACAGTCAATGCTGCTTTAACATGAAGTTTCAGTAATCTAGAGTTGTAATGCACAGTAAGAAACGTGGACACCTTGATAGCATGTCAATACCGTCATCCACTAGAGCACTATCGAGTTCCATCACACACACACGCGCAGTCCAGTGAACTTTTAGGTATCTGTGGCACTGCATAAGCACAAAAGCGACTGCCACTCCTACGAAGATTATGGCAATATTGAGAAAAAAAGACACACCAGATTGGCGAAACTTGTTGAAAACAGTCAACATCTTCTGGTTTTTCACATATAATTCACTATGAGGGAGTTCGGCCTCAACCCTAAGAGTAGCTGCACCCCCTGCTCGGGAGAACCCATGTTCTAAAACACCGACGAGGAAGCAGGTGAACGATATTAGGAGCCAGTAACCCATCTTGGAAAGCGAAACGCGAAACACGGCAGTGTAGAAAATTTAGTTATTGTCCTTTGATCATGCGTCTCAGTGCATTCTGTATGCTGTTCTTCAGTGAGCGGGGGGCTCGTGTTCCCGCTGTGGAGTGCTGCCGACCAGCCGGAGCGATGTGAAGCTCATGTCCTACCAGCTCCGCGTTCCCGAGGTACTAAAACAGTCAATGCTGCTTTAACATGAAGTTTCAGTAATCTAGAGTTGTAATGCACAGTAAGAAACGTGGACACCTTGATAGCATGTCAATACCGTCATCCACTAGAGCACTATCGAGTTCCATCACACACACACGCGCAACGTGCTCAGTTGTTTGGCAAGGTCTGCCGATTGCTGAATATAGTGCTGTATTAATTATTTTCTTACCTTTATATAAACATTATGGATTGGAGTGCTTATGTTCGATTTGTGAACCCGATTCGTGAACCCTCCTGAGTACTGCGAAGCGTGCAGGAACGTTGGTGACTCGGCGAAAGCCGCACCATCGCTACACTTGCGCAAAGCAGCGTGAGTCGATTGCATGAGCATTCACAAACTCGAAATTCAATTTTTGGCTGCCTTTAATTAGCTTTTCCAGCTCAGTGATTTCAGCTGTCCCCTTGAAACAAGGGCTATAATTTTGACATGCCCTAGTGCTGCCTGGAACTCCGTGGTAAAAGGTTTTTTTTTGTCTACAGAGAGCAGTTCCAAGGTACTAATCTGAGACGATGATGGGAATGGCTGAGGGCTAATGGCCCGCACGCTAACATATGTATATATATATGAATATAGTATATATGGGCCAGGCGTAAAGTACTCACACACAACTGCTTGCTCCCTGAAAAGCTAGTTATCTTTCAGTAGACTAGGAAGCCGATTGGTTTACCGTCTTGTTCGAGGACTGCTCCGATTGCGTAACCAGAGGCATCTGTGTATAACTCGAAGGGCTTCGTCGTGTCAGGGACCTGTAAGGTAGTGAAGTCTATTAAGTGCTGTTCGAGCTGCCGCACCGCTTGCGTGTGAAGCTCTGTCCATTTGAAACTGAAGTCTTTACGCGTTATATCAACCAGCGGCAGGGCAACGTCTGCATAGTCCGGTCCCATGAACATGCGACAGTAATTTATGGTACCGAGGAACTGGCGCACTTGCGTTTCGTTCTCCAGCACCTCTGGCCAATGCCGGATGGCTTCGATTTTGTCTTCTGCAGGTTTGATCCCAGTAGCAGATACAGTATAACCCAAATAAGTAATTGTTTGCCGTGCAAGCTTACATTTGCGGAATTTTGGGTAGAACTGGTGTCGAAGAAAAATTCCTAGGACTTGTCGCAGGAGAGACGTGCCCAGAGAGATCAGAACTATAGATAAGTACATCATCCAGGTACGCAATAACGCCCTGCCCCAACAAAGGTTGTAAATAGGCATTAATATTGGCCTGGAACGTAGCGGGAGCACCCTTAAGGCCGAAAGGCGTCACGCGGTACTCGAATAATCCGACAACGGACCGGAAAGCCGTCTTCCAACGGTCTTCCTTAGCCATGCGTATTTGATGGAATCCTGCTTCAAGATCCAAGGTGGAAAAATACTTGGCGGCTCCCAGCAGCTCCCAAATGGTTTGGATGGGAAGTAGTGGAAAATCAGGGGCTATCGTAAGGACATTTAGAGCCTGGTAATTGACAACCATACGCATCTCCCGCTCCCCGGAGCCATCATCACGTTTGTCCACCATGATCGTAGGCAGGGACCTGTCCT